CAAGAGCCGCAGCGTGGGGCACACTCCCATATGTATCTTCATCGTTAAATAAAGTTGATCCGAGCGAGAATAATATTCAATCGTTTTGCCATCTTGTAAATTATGCAACGCAAAGGAGGAAAGCCACCACATCGGCTTACAGAATACTTCTATATTATACCCAATGAGTGGGCAAATAAAAGTAATCGAAAATGCATTTGTAGAGCATGTATGGATGCGGTAGGAAAAGAGGTTGCTCTGCAAGATGAGAATATGAAAATTACCAATACTTTACGTTATTGTTCTAGTCATCTTAAGGATTGTCCTTACTTTGACGTAAAACATTCACCTGAACAAATACAAAATATTATCAATTTGGCTTTGGCCACTTCAACATCAAAAAAGCGTATGGCGATATCTCATATAGATGAAGAAGATGAGGAGGATTCAATTTCAACAACATAAACTCACTCTTCTAATTCATTATCAACATCTAATAATATCGTAGGATCCTTTTTACAAAAACAAACAACACTATCTCAATATATTGGTCGTCCTTTTAATGCATCAGAAGTTCCCAAATTTGAACGTCTTGTACTCCGTGCTACAGTTTTAGCTGGATTTGCCTTTTGATGGATAGAAAATCCTGAAGTTAGAGAATTATTTCAATTTATTTCTCCATATATAAAATTACCTAACCGAAAATCACTTAGCAATCGTATTTTAATGAATGCAACTAACGAAGTTCAGACAACAATTAAAGATCTTGCTTGCAATGATAAAATTGGTATTACAATTGCTTTTGATGGTTGGCGCAATATTGTAAATCAGGAATTGATGAGCATAGTATTTATTACGTCTTCGGGAGAAACTTTAATTTGGGGAGCAGAAGATATTAGTATTGAAAGACAGCGAAAAGAAGAAGTAATATCTAGAATTTGTAATCTTTTTGAAGAGGTAAAAAAATTAAATATAAAAGCAAACCGTCTTGTAACTGACTCGGCTGGTTCATATGCAGCAGCTCGTCATTATTTGAGACGTGAAATGCGTGATAAGGTGTTATTCCATGTTTTACCCACCAGGCAAATTGTTGTGTTGGTGATATATTTAAAGAATCTGCAATACTTAAAAATACAAGTAAACATGCAATTCGTATTGTTACTTTTTTTCATCGTTCTGTATATTTTACTGCCAAACTTCATGATGAACAAAAAGATATTTTAAAAAAATATGTTAATTTTGCTATGCCAAGTACAACAAGGTGGAATAGTTATTTTGATAGCATCCTTAAAAGCAAACATCCATTAAAGGTATATTTAAAATTAAATTTTAGATTTTTAGTTAATTTTTTACTTAAAAAGATGGAAGCATAGTGTTCTACTAAAAAAAAATTTTTTTGTTAGACCCTTGTTACCAAAGATGATGCGGCTTCAGATAATGATTTGAGACTTTCTAGCGATATTAAAGTTACAGTTAATCTTGACTCTTTTTGGGAATCACTTGTTATATTACGTAATATATTTCATCCATTTTGTGAAGCTCTTAACCTTATGCAATGAGACAAAGCCCATCTTCATAATGTTTTACATTCTTTCGGCTTTATTATGCAAATATTTAAAGAGCTTGAAGTATCACAATTTCGAACCAAAATTATTGAAAGGCTTGAGAAGAGATGGGCTACTTGGGAACAACTGCTACTTCTTCTCTCTTTTGTTCTTCATCCTTTATATTGGCTAAATTATTTTGATCAAACACAACTATATATTAACTTTACCCATATAGATGCATAGTTATCATATTACTATAAGGCTTGGTTTGGTACTGACTCAAATCATTTACTTCACGAACTTGAGCTTTACAAGCAGAAAAAGTATCCTTTTATTGAGAAAATATTTAGCTAATTTAAGGGTGATATTGTTCTTTGGTGGTCACACAATTCTGGTATTGCACCAGAATTGAGTCGTATTGCATGTCAATTATTTGGCATATGCGTTACAACAGCCTCAGTAGAAAGACTTTTTTCTACTATGGGTTTTTTGCACTCTCCATTATGAAATAAATTAAAAGTAAGTTTTACTTTGTTATAAACTTTTTTTTATATTAACATTTTTTTTTTATTAACAGCCAGAAAAAGTAATTGCAATGAGTCAGCTTTGCGCAGAAATTTTATGAACTCATAAAAAAAAATCTAACTTTCTTCATATTCAATCACATCATTCTTCCTCTTCTATCAATCCTGTTCCTATCACTTCAACTTCTGAAGAAACTGATGCTGATGATAATAAAAATGAGGATACTTCTTCAGAAGCTGATTGGGATGTTGTCATCAATGAATGGGAAGAGCTATTAACTGAAGAAGAATTCGAAGAACAGGATGATTTTGACAATGTTGATACTGATTTCCTTAATTCAGAAATACACCCGGCTGAAAATCAAGCTGCGAAGTGGAAATTGCAAAATTTGTTTTTACCTAATTTGCCTTTTCCCTTTGAAAATATTTGAATTATGTATTTACTTTTTATTGATACAGTATAAAATTTTGTAGTGAAAGGGTGGAGCATTTGAATAGAATAGTATATTTTTTATGTTACTCAAATTTAAATATATATAAATATGGGAAAATTTTCAATACTACTGCTTATAATAATTATGCATAATACATGCGTATGTGTAAAGTTTACAACTTTTATATGAAATATTTCTAAACTTGGACAAGAATGGAGCATGCCATTTAATTAATCGTAACACAATAATTATTATAAATAAATTATCGTACGTACGTACATACGTAAGTTACATATTTAATAAAATTTTAAGATCGTTAATATATAACATGGAAACTAACTCAAGAACTATATTATATAATAAGCATATGTTTACGATTATTTCACTGAAAAAGTTGGTTTATTAATAAGTGTAGCTTTATTTATAAAGTTCTATAACACAAACGCTTAATAAATAAACGTGGATATATAAGAAACCTGATTGACTAAAATTTCATTGATTACAGATGCAATTCTATTGGTCAATTAACACGTGTTAAACTAAATGACCAATCACATGAAGCGATTTAATATCATGTGATTAACCAATGACGAGAAGGTTATCTTATGTATCCGATCCTATGTTCATTGCTTTTGATCAGACATTCGAACAATGGACATCGGACAGATTTCCATTGTCTGAATTCCATTCATACCAACCCTGTTACTGAAGAGTTTTCCGATTTGGATATTGATAAATATAATAAAACATGGTTTAATGAAGATTCAGATTTGAATAATGTAATATAATTAAATTTATAAGTCGAATATTACAAAATATATTTTAGTTTATAGTTTTAATTTTTTTTTATTTTAGAGCGATGTGAATGAAAATCAAGATTTGCAGGAAGTGGCATTTTTTACGAAAAAACTATGTGTAAATCAAATTATTCATAGTGCATTACCCATCGAATATCCTGCAACATCTGAAGATGGAGTTGCAACAATTTTTAATATTGGCGGTTGGGATAATTATATGGATGCATTTAATAATGTAACAAAAATTTTTTTATTTAATTTATCGTATATATAAGCTTATAATATTTAATAATTTTAAATTATAATATTATTAATTAGATTCAATATTCAATTAATGGCTGTGGTGGTGCTTCTACTGTTCAAAATTGTCCTTTTTTTGGAAGTATCTGTTAAAAAGGATGAGCGAAGATGTCAAGGCATTAAATATTGTGAATTTAGTGATCCAATCTATCTTAATACTGTTCACAATAATGTTGATGTTGATTCAGATTTATATCGTAAAATGGTTATGGATCAAGAAATAAATAGCAAAAAAATAAAAACTTATACGTAATTTTAATTTATTTTATTTAATTTTAATTTATATATTTAATATAAATTAATTTAATTTTCTATTAATAAAGAATGTATTTGGCCACAATTGAATCTCAATGCAAGTTTCAACACAATGGTGTGTTTTGTTCTGGATCTGCAAAGCTTGGAAAAATCGTTGATTATTTAACAAACACTACATCTTATTTTATTGGATGTACTGAATATAAGCCAAATGATAAATGGCATCATTTTATTAAAATAAATATAAATGAAATCGATTTGCCTTTATTAAAAAAGTTATTTACAGGTGGATTAATTGAAGATGATCAAGTAACTTGTACTTCAATTGTTGCACGAAGCTGTAAAAGAAAACAATGTAATAAATTTTAAATTATATTTATTAAAATTATTGTAATTAAATTTATTTAAAATTAAATTAAAAAAAATTATTATTGTAGAATTTCCTCATATTAACGACGGTCAAGTTACTAGAGGAAATATAATTGAAAAATTATGTCCAGTGTGCTTTATTAAAATTATTCTATTAGATATATCAAGCTGTTCTTTTGTTGCACTTATATGTATTGGTACTCACAATCACCCACCACCACCACCGGAAAAAATACCATCAAATATTAAAAATACATTACAAACTTTAATTAAACAAGCTATTAATTTTATTTATTTAAAGGAAATTTTATTAAAGCTTCATTTAATACTGAAATACTCAGTCAAATTCATGCTTCACTAAATAATATTGATCGATTACGATATTTAGTTAATAAGGCTTATAAAGAAATACATCTATATAGACAAAGTATTATGGGTATATGGTATAATATAACACAAAAACTTAATAATTTATATCAATATGTTCAAAAAATTGGTATATATATATATATATAATTTTGTTAATTTAATATTATAATTTTTATTAGGACGATCTTAATACTCACCGGAGGTGAAATTCACCAGTTATATGATTAACCAATCAAATCGCAGGATCTTTGTGTAATAAAAATGAAGAATTTTTAGAAAAAAACCAAAAAATGTTAATATCTAAAATTTTTATTATGAAAACTTACTTTATGTCATTAAGTAAAAGTTTTCAGTGCTTAATTTTACATATAATAAACACTCTAACTCTAATATAGTTCTCGCCCTAACTCTAAAGTTAATGAAAAAAAATTTTTACTAGGAAATAAACAAACAAAATTATATACTGGTTAATTTCACCTATGGTTATTTCTAAATAAATTCTTTTTATTAATTTATTTTTAGAATTTTTTCATGATGGTCAAATTATAATTATTTGCATATTGCCAAAATTGGCATATATGCTACAAAAATTAATGTTTTTTCAAATTGATATGAGTTATAAAAGAGTTAAAGAATCAATTAATGAATTCGAATATAACTCTTATAACAAAGAATATAAAATAAGTTAATTATATATTTAATTATATATATAATATATATGTGTATTTATTATTTATCAAAATTATTATTAATTTAAATAATTATTTATATATTTAGTTATGTCTTATTGTCGTATCTTTACTAATATATTTACAGCTGAAGGATATAAACGGCCTTTTCAAGTTTTATTTCAAGTAATTAAAGAAATTACGAAGAAGGATATTAAATTTTACCATATACATAATGAAGGATGGGCATATATTATGGCTGATTTAGATACTGCTCAATTAAAAGGTTTGGGTATGGCGATTGAAGAAATTGATTGTTCAAAAACTTGGAATACACATCTTCTATATATATTTAAATCATGCTTGATCCATTACAATCGGTAAAAAAATTAAAGTTTTAATTAATTAATTTTTAATTTATTAAATTTTATTTTTTAAATTTATTTATAGAAATATTCGAAACAAACATTTTACTGAATATGCGAAAAGTTTAATGTATTCTATTCCTAATTGCGATAATAAAGAATTAGTATTTAATATTTTTGAACAATTGTTAAATTTAAATGAAAATAATTTACAAGGTATATATATATGTATTTATTAAATTTAATTAAATTTATTTATTAATTTACAATAATTTATTTTAGAGTGGATTGATTACTATCGTACACCTTATATTATAGCCTCATTAAATTATCATTGCTCAAAAATTAATTATAATATCTGGATTGAAACTGGAAATAACACAAATGCAACTGAAGCTGCTCATGCATATGCTAATCGGTCTGGAAAGCAGTTAAAATTACTTTCAGCAATTAATCAGTATTTATTTTTTGTTAATTATTAAATAATTACATATATACAAATTTAATAAATAATATTTAAATATATATTAAGTATTAATAATTTTAAATTTAGAGAAAAAAAATTAGATGAAATAACTATTAATCGAATACAAGTTCATGTCAAGTTTGGTGTACCAATTACACACGTAATAGTGGTGAAATTAAACGCAAATCAATTGCTAAGACACATAAAAGTAAATATATATAAAGATATATTTTATATTAATGAAAATACAGTTTATTAATTTATAATTAAAATTGTTATTAGTAAGCAAAAACAAATCCTCGAATTACAAGTCCCAACCAAAAAAAAATTACCAAAAAAATCACAAAATATAATTACAATTCTTTCAGATTCGGAAACAGAAATAACATCAAGTAAAAAAGTTAAAATTGAATTAGAATCAAATAATTCGAATGAATTGAAAATTGAAGAACAGAAAATGAAGCTTCAAGAACAAGCTATTGCTATTCGTGAAAAAGAAGTTGAGTTGCAAAGAAAAGAAGCTGAAATAGAGGCCATGGAATTAGCTAATAAAAAAATGAGAAATGAATTAAATTATATTGCCTAATTATTAAAGATGTGTAATGCGCAATATATATATACACATTATTGTTATTAACATATAAAATTAAAATATGTAACATTTGCGAAATAAATAATTAAAAAAATAAGTAATGTAGAGTTTATGAAATATGTATGTATAATTTATGTTATACAACTATACAAACAACAGTATACATTACATACATATCGGTCCATACAGTACATATATTTGTAATACCCGAATTTTTACAGTAAATCACTATAGAAATCATATTCATTTTAATACAAAACTAACATAATCGTAGCTGAAACACATGTATCGCCACAATAGTTGGTAAAAATTTTTTACAACTAGGAAAACGGGATCCGTTGGGTTCCAGAGCGCCACTTCGTATTAGTAAATGAACTTTTAAGGTTGCTTAGTAAATCTACTAATTCGCAATATGTTAGTGAAAATTTTTAGTGTAAATTTATATCTATTATGTTGATATACTTATCTTTATGTTCTATTAAAATGTAAAAGATATTAACTTCTGTAAAAAAAGTATTTAAAGGCAATGTAACAATATGAATTAGGTTAATATGATGTAATAATATCATGATTAGTGACATAGAGTATTATTCTCTCACATATTAAGTTACAAAAATTTAAATAATTAGTTCTCATTATATCTTAATTTCAAAGTGGCTTGTAAACTGGCTATAAAAAAATAAATATACCGATTTTTAAAAATTACATTCAATTATAAAGACGCTTAAATGGTCAGATTATGAGAACAAATTAATTAAATTCATATGGTCCTATTATGTGCGAACTTAATCACAAATTGAGTTTATATTTATGAGG